TTGGGTTCTACAGGAAAATATATATAAAAAAATTCTTTAACAAACCTGCTTATCTAAATTGTTTTGCAATCAATTTTATACAATCTACAATTTCCATAAAAAGGAAATTTTTCCCTATATAATCCCCAGCTCTCAAAAGAAAATAACTCTCATAGCAAATCAAAACAGTCTGGAATATGATAAGGAAAATTGCTGGCAAAAATCTATCACCTCATAATTATTCACCCGAAAACCTTAAAATGATCCACCCTGGGTTGTAAAACTAATCAATCTTCTTTTTCTATATCTAAATAGTTACAAACAGCCTGGTGTACTAATGGCCATTTACTTATACTTTATTGACAATCACAAAATAATCTTAAATTGTGTTGTTATTTAATGATGATAATTGAAAGTTTAGCAAATGATAATGGTTGCTGTGAATACAATCATAACTCAATCTTTACATTTTCTCAGTTGAGCTTGCATGGATACAAGTTGATTTCATTGATATGGAATTATTCTTCAAATAGGCAATTTATTATGAATTTAGGCCAGTAATATATAAAGTAGAAATGGTTTTATTATTTGTTCATTTGATAATGTGAATCTTTTCATGTATATTATTAGTTATCGCACTGAGGCCAAGGTTAGCCTACCAGCAAACAGCTCAGGATTTAAGGCTTCTTTTTTAGAATTGTGGTATGAGATAACTCCCAATTTTTAAGGGTGATTTTTGTGATTCAAAGGTCATCTTATATGTGTAAATATACAGTATGTATGTATGTATGCTTATATATTGCATTCGTCTGTGTTTATTTTTATCATTATTTTTTTTAAATTATGTGTGTGTGTGTGTGTATATATATATATATATATATACAGAATATTTAGACAACTTTTACATACTTTATGTCCAGAAAGAAAACAATTATACAAACAAAAGAAAAATTTAAAGAAAACTTAATTTGTCAGTCATCTTTAATGAAACTTGTATAATAGAGGAACTGCTGCTCAAATACACAATATATATTCCAGACTTGAAGATGTCTGTAGGAACAGACGAAAGCTTGTAGTAAAAATAAGAACTAATGTGGCAGAAATTTATGGAAACAAGGATCTTTTCATTCATAACGGATTTGGAGGTTTTGTATATTTTTGAATTGTTTTTGCGGCGATGGATTTTGTTAAATCATTAACCTTTGCATTTGTTTTTGTGTGAATAATTCATGAATTTGTAAATTGATTGCACATCGTAATTAAAATAACTGATCCATGTATAATAAGTATTACTGTAATTATTGTATAGTTCATGCCACTTTGACAGAAAATTTACCAGTAAAAATTGTTTATCACCTTATTTGTACATGAACGCACAACTGTAAAAAAATTTAAAATCAAACTCAGCGTTATATTTTGGCTCCAAAAAAATAACTCATTTCCAATAGCATTTTCGTAACAATGTATATATATTTTCGTTTGTTCTCTTTATTATATTCCATAAGATGTCTGTAGGAACAGGCGAAAGCTTGTAGTAAAAATAAGAACTAATTTTAGAAACAAGGATCTTTTCATTCATAACTTTCGGAGGTTTTGTATATTATTTGAATTGTTTTATGGCGATGATGGATTTCTGTAATTAAATCATTAACCTTTGCATTTGTTTTTTGTGTGAATAATTCAATTTGTAAAATTGATTGCACGTTTAAAATTAAAATAACTGATCCAAGATAATAAGTGCGACATTAATTTTGAACAATATAGTTCATGCCACTTTGACAGAAAATTTACCAGAAAAAAATGTTTATCACCTTATTTGTACATGAACGCACCACAACTTTAAAAAAATTAAAATCAAACTCAGCTGCTCAAAAAACAATAACTCATTTCAATATATACAACAATACATATATTTCGTTGTTCTCTTATTACTAAGAGAAAAAACAAGAACAACACCTTTCCATACCTGAAGATGTCTGTGGAACAGAAAAGCTTGTAGTAAAAATAAGAACTAATGTGGCAGAAATTTATGGAAACAAGGATCTTTTTCATCATAACGGATTTGAGGTTTTGTATATTATTTGAATTGTTTGCGATGATAGATTTCTCGCCAATTAAATCATTAACCTTTGCATTTGTTTTTGTGTGAATAATTCATGAATTTGTAAATTGATTGCACGTTTATCGAATTAAAATAACTGATCCAAGTCGACTTTTGGATAATAAGTGCGACATTACTGTAATTATTGAACAATATAGTTCATGCCACTTTGACAGAAAAATTTACCAGTAAAAAAATTCGTTTATCACCTTATTTGTACATGAATTAAACAATAAAAAAAATTTAAAATCAAACTCATTTAGTTCATGCCACTCCAAAAAAAACTTTTCCAATAGCATTTTTCGGAAAAAATTCGTTTATCCCCACCTATTCCATACCTGAAGATGTCTGTAGGAACAGACGAACTTATAGTAAAATAAGAACTAATTAAAAAAACAAGATTTTTGTATAAAATTAACCTTTGCATTTGTTTTTGTGTGAATAATTCAAATTTGTAAATTGATTGCAATCGTAATTAAAATAACTGATCCAAGTGCTACTTTTTTGATAATAAGTTCGACATTACTGTAATTATTGAACAATATAGTTCATGCCACTTTGACAGAAAAATTTACCAGTAAAAAATTCGTTTATCACCTTATTTGTACATGAAACAACTGTAAAATTTAAAATAACTCACTCATTTCCTCATTTCCAATAGCATTTTCGGATACAACAATACATATATTTTCGTTGTTCTCTTATTACTAAGAGAAAAAACAAGAACAACACCTATTCCATACCTGAAGATGTCTGTAGGAACAGACGAAAGCTTGTAGTAAAAATAAGAACTAATACGGCAGAAATTTATAGAAACAAGGATCTTTTCATTCATAACGGATTCGGAGGTTTTTGTATATTATTTGAATTGTTTGCGATGATGCATTAAATTATATTCTGGTTCGTATCAACCAAATAAAAATCTACAAAGCTATGTTTGTCCTCCAATGCTTATGTATAACCATATATAATATCGCAGAGACAGCATGGTTAAAACCAGGTGTGTTTTTCCTCTGCCAAAGATTGACTAGTCAGAGTCATGGTATGCTCATTAGTTTAAAACCCAGGCAATAATGCTTCCTCTTTACAAAGTATGAAAGAGAATGACTTAGTCAATAAAAGGACAGGTTTCAGGAAGACAGAAGATGACGATAATGCTATGCTCAGGGGAAAGATTAGAAAGGGCAACAAAAAGAACAGTTTTCAGGAGATAGAAGATTCACTATGACATAAGGAGTTACTGGGAAAAGATTGAAGGGCAACAAAAGAACAGTTTTCTAAAGGGTTTAATGACATAAGGAGTTGGGAGGAAAAATTAAAGGGCAACAAAAGAACAAGGCAAGAAGATGGTAATACTGCTACTTTGACATAAGGACAGGAAAGATAATGAGAAAGGGCAACAAAAGGAGGTTGGTAATAATGCTACTATGACATAAGGAGTTACTGGGAGGGAAAGATAATGAGAAAGGCAACAAAGAACAGTTTTCAAGATAGATGAGACATAAGGAGTTACTGGGAGGGGAAAGATAATGAGAAAGGGCAACAAAAGAACAGTTTCAGGAGATGGGAAGATGGTAATACTGCTACTATGACATAAGGAGTTACTGGGAGGAAAGATAATGAAAAGGGCAACAAAAAGAACAGTTTTCAGGGAGATAGAAGATGGTACCTACTATGACATAAGGAGTTACTGGGAGGAAAGATAATGAGAAAAAGGCAACAAAAAAAGTTTCAGGGACGAAGATGGTAATACTGCTACTTTGACATAAGGAGTTACTGGGAGGGAAAGATAATGAGAAAGGGCAACAAAAGAACAGTTTTCAGGGAGATAGAAGATGGTAATAATGCTACTATGACATAAGGAGTTACTGGGAGGGAAAGATAATGAGAAAGGGCAACAAAAGAACAGTTTTCAGGGAGATAGAAGATGGTAATAATGCTACTATGACATAAGGAGTTACTGGGAGATAATGAAGAAAAGGGCAAAAAAAGAACAGTTTTCAGGAGATAGAAGATGGTAATAATGCTACTATGACATAAGGAGTTACTGGAGGGAAAAGATAATGAAAAGGACAAAAAGAACAGTTTTCAAGAAGATGGTAATAATGCTACTATGACATTACTGGGAGGGAAAGATAATGAGAAAACAAAGAACAGTTTTTCAGGGCACTATGACAAAAAAAGATAATGAGAAAGGGCAACAAAAGAACAGTTTTCAGGGAGATAGAAGATGGTAATAATGCTACTATGACATAAGGAGTTACTGGGAGGGAAAGATAATGAGAAAGGGCAAATAAAGAACAGTTTTCAAGATAGAAGATGGTACTGACATAAGGACTGGGAAAGATAATGAGAAAGGGCAACAAAGAACAGTTTTCAGGAGAAAGAAGGGTAATACTGCTACTATGACATAAGGAGTTACTGGGAGGGAAAGATAATGAGAAGGGCAACAAAAGAACAGTTTGGTAATACTGCTACTATGACATAAGGAGTTAAGGGAAAGATGAGAAAAGGCAACAAAAGAACAGTTTTCAGGGAGATAAAAAGATGGTAATTACTATGACATAAGGAGTTACTGGGAGGGAAAGATAATGAGAAAGGGCAACAAAAAGAACATTTTCAGGAGATTTTGATATGACATAAGGAGTTACTGGGAGGGAAAGATAATGAGAAAAGGGCAGATGAGAAAGATGGTAAGCTGACATAAGGAGTTAAAAAAGATAATGAGAAGAACAGTTTTCAGGAGATAGAAGATGGTAATACTGCTACTATGACATAATTGGAGAGAAAGATAATGAGAAAGACAACAAAAGAACAGTTTTCAGGGAGATAGAAGATGGTAATACTGCTACTATGACAGTTACTGGGAGGATAGATAATGAGAAAGGGCAACAAAAGAACAGAGATAAAATGGTAATAGCTACCATAAGGAGTTACTGGGAGGAAAGATAATGAGAAAAGGGCAACAAAAAGAACAGTTTTTCAGGGAAAAAAGATGGTAATAATGCTTATGACATAAGGGAAGGAAAAGACAGTTTTCAGGAGGGATGGTAATACTGCTATTATGACATGGAGTTACTGGGAGGGGAAGATAATGAGAAAGGGCAACAAAAGAAAGTTTTTCAGGAGATAGAAATGGTAATACTGCTACTATGATTACTGGGAGGGAAAGATAATGAGAAAGGGCAACAAAAAGAACAGTTTTCAGGGAGATTGGTAATACTGACCCATGACATAAGGAGTTACTGGGAGGGAAAGATAATGAGAAAAGGGCAAACAAAAAGAACAGTTTTCAGGAGATAGAAATGGTAGCTACTATGACATAAGACCAAAGATAATGAGAAAGGGCAACAAAAGAACAGTTTTCAGAATAGAAGATGGTAATACTGCTAAGATTAATGAGAAAGGGCAACAAAGAACAGTTTTCAGGGAGATAGAAGATGGTAATAATGCTTTACTGGGAGGAATAATGAAAAAGGGCAAATAAAAGAACAGTGGAGATAGAAGGAATACTGCTACTATGACATGAGGAGTTACTGGGAGGAAAGATAATGAGAAAGGGCAACAAAAGAACAGTTTTCAGGGAGATAGGACATGTACTGGGGAGGAAGATAATGATTTTCAGAGATAGAAGATGGTAATAATGCCTAACATAAGGAGTTACTGGGAGGGAAGATAATGACAACAAAAGTTTTCAGGGATAGAAGATGGTATTCTACTATGATAATTACTGGGATTCCAAAAGAACAGTTTCAGGGAGATAGAAGTGGTAATGTATGACAAAGGAGTTACAGAGAAGATAATGAGAAAGGGCAACCAGTTTTCAGGAGATAGAAAGATGGTAATAATGCTCAAAGGAGTTACTGGGAGGGAAAGATAATGAGAAAGGGCAACAAAGAACAGTTTTCAGGAGATAGAAGATGGTAATATCATGACATAAGGAGTTACTGGGAGGGGGAAAGATAATGAGAAAGGGCAGAACAGTTTTTAGGAATAAATCAGTAATTGCTACTATGACATTTACTGGGAGGGGAAAGATAATGGGAGATGAAAGATGGTAATACTGCTACTATTTACTGGGAGGGAAAGATAATGAGAAAGGGCAACAAAAGAACAGTTTTCAGGAGATAGAAGATGGTAATAATGCCTATGACATAAGGAGTTACTGATTGAGAAAGGTCAAAAAAGAACAGTTCTCAGGGGAGATAAAGTTTATCTATGGACATAAGGAGTTACTGGGAGGAAAGATAATGAGAAAGGCAACAAAAGAACAGTTTTCAATAGAAGATGGTAATAATGCTACTATGACATAAGGGAGTTACTTGGAGGAAAAGATAATGAGAAAGGGCAACAAAAGAACAGTTTTCAGGGAGATAGAAGATGGTAATACTGCTACTATGACATAAGGAGTTACTGGGAGGGAAAGATAATGAGAAAGGGCAACAAAAGAACAGTTTTCAGGGAGATAGAAGATGGTAATACTGCTACTATGACATAAGGAGTTACTGGGAGGGAAAGATAATGAGAAAGGGCAACAAAAGAACAGTTTTCAGGGAGATAAAGATGGTAATACTGCTACTATGACATAAGGAGTTACTGGGAGGGAAAGATAATGAGAAAGGGCAACAAAAGAACAGTTTTCAGGAGATAGAAGATGGTAATACTGCTACTATGACAAAGGAGTTACTGGGAGGGAAAGATAATGAGAAAGGGCAACAAAAGAACAGTTTTCAGGGAGAAAGATGGTGGCGATTGTTGTTGCATTTAAATTTTTGATTCCACAGATGAGAAAAGAAGCTGTTAAAATAGAAGAGACGCTTTCATCTAGCTAATTCGGCAGTAAAACAGTGGGACCTAGTTGCCAATCTGGTAGCACACTTAAATTCATACAGTCAAGGCACAAAGAAAAAACAGCCCATCAGAACATGAAAATATTTATAGAAAAGACAGAGGGAAGCCATGTCATGTCAGTGAGAAAGTGACTGATGTCGAGGTTAGATTACATTACAGACCCATTTTTGAATTTTGTCAAGAATCTTGAGATAAATGGTAGGAGCACCAGACCAGATATAGCAGCAGTATTTGATGAATTGAAGATTGCTAGCTTTACAAATGTGTAGGAAGGATTCTACTGAGGAAAAAACTCTCTGGCATGTCACAATGAACCAAATTCTTTAGCAGTAGACCAAGTAATTGATTCAATATAATCATTCCATTTCATGTCAGTGCAAAACATAATCCCAAAAAGGTGCAAAGTGTTGTTCTGTAGTTTAGCATCAGCCATGCTGATTGGCAGGCAGAAAAAGTTTATCTATGGTGATTAAATGAAATCAGTTTTCTTTGGGAGGTGTTAAAATTTACAAGCCCTTTCTTGCCCCAGTTAACAATTGATTGGAAGTTCTTTTCAAGAGCAGTTGCCAGATTTACTTTGTCGGATCTGTCAGACTTTCTACTTACACAGGAGGAAATAGTTACATCATAAATACCTAGTTGGAAACTGATGACATCAGGAATATCATTGATGAGGCTTAGAAACAGCGTATGTCCAAGGCAAAAGGCATTGTTCGCCAAAATAGGCATTTCTATGCATTTGATAGTCTTCCTACAATAAGGCTGTTTCATATTTCTGTAAAAATCATTTTTGTGGCTATTTCAAATCAGTAGAGATAAGAATATGTCAAAGGTTTTTAATAATAACCATTCATTTTATCTGTTGTTGGATTTAAAATCAAGAATTTCAAAAAGATGGAATATTTAACGAATGATCTGCAATGATTTTATCTCCTCTCTTATATGACAAATTATTGCTTGATGTAAAATACTTTAAAATGGCAAAATAGTTAAGCAAACCAAACAAATAAAATTAGTTAATATATATTTTCTTTTTACTTTAACGCAAAGTCCATCTCTATTTGTTGTCTGTTTATTCTTCTAAAATCCATGATACTTTGCTCCTTTTAATTCTCTCTCTTGAAGCAAAGATGATAATTAGTCATAACAATTTTCAATGAATTTAAAACAAATCCTGTTAATAAAAAACATCACAAAACAATTGAATATTATTTTAAAACATTTTTATTTTGAAGAAATAGAAAAAAATGTTTGAAATAATAAATTTTCCATATTTACTCAATAAATACTTTTCATTTTTATTATTTAAAAATAAAAATGATTTGGTTTCATCAATTTATTAAAATTTTCTTTTTCCCAGCCATTTTTGTTAAAAGTCTAGCATAATATCTTTCAGCAATGAAAGGGTAATTTAAATCTGGCACTTCTCTCTCAGGTCAAAGTGTAGTAACTGTACACTGTACACTGTTTGAGAAATGTTACACACAAAAAATAAATACACATTACATTTTCTACATTTCGATTTTTAATGTATCTTGCACTAAAGTGTTATTCTTAAAACGTTAAATATCTTTGATTGATCAGGTAAGAAGTGTAGATATGAAATATAAAAAATGTATCCAAGGTTTACGCACACATACACACAAACATGATGGGTTTATAATGATGGCTTTCATATTTTGAAATCTCAGATTTTTCAAAACAATTAATAATGGTATGTGGTCCAGATCGTGAAAAACAAACTCAACATTTTTTATGGATCATGGATAAAAATGAATTTATTTGATTAATGGAGAATAGTAAAAATTCATCTTATAAAATTATGTCAGTAATAATTTATTGCAAAAAGATTAATGTTTTTTTCTTTTTCTTTATGACAAAAATTTTCTTTTGTCGCACATAAAGAATTTATTTTAATGAAATAATGTTTTTAGAATCTGAAAACTTTGAACGTCAGATTGTTGGTCACGTGTCTGTATTGATGGAAGTTTCATCTTGAGAATTATGTTTTTGGAATAATTCCTGTAAAGAAGTTATTTTTTTGACATTAAAATTTTTAAACTTTGGAAATTTCAAATGTTTACAAAAATTTGATTTATGGAGCACTGTAATTACCTTCCATGTCTTGCAAAGAACAGCAGTTAAATGCCGTATCCCACTATCAACCTTGACGAGGAAAATAAATTAATATCAGAGAATGGCATTGATGACTTTTTTTTAAAGCTATTTGTTGATGGGACATAATGTCAGGAGATATAGATTTTTATGGTTCTTGTACAAATGAAATGCAATTGACCTCTGTTAAACATTATTTTTCCATTTTGTAGTTTAATATTCGTAACACCAACTTGAAGCTTAATCTATCACACACATTGCTGAATCTGACATTTGGCTACATTGGGAGGGAATTGTTGCAAAGTTACATTTATTAACTTCAAAATTAAACATCACATTTTTTTATTTACATTATTTGGACTATTGACCTCATCTTTGTCGCCATATTTATTACAACGTTTCAGCCGTTGTACACTCTGGTCTTCTTCAGGTGGTTGGAATGTCGAACTGAACCTTCAAGGACACATGGCACAGTGGATAAAGGCGTTAGTTAAATCCAGTCACAGGATCCAAAGAGTGTGAGTTCAATATCTGGTTAAGGCAGTGGAGAACTTGGAGAGGGGAATTAACAAGAGATAACTGATAATTGACATCCATTAAACATGGCATGTGAAACTAGAACAGTTTACCCCAGTGAGTGAAAAAAAAAGAGTTCAGTTTGACATTCCAACCACCTGAAGAAGGCCGGAGCATACAACAGCCAAAACGTTGTAATAAATATGGTGACAAAGATGAGGACAATAGTCCGAATAATGTAAATAATGTACATAATACCTCATCTCAGAAATATAGACAGATCATGTTTTTTCTTTGTATGCATCTTTCTGTACATGTTTACTGAGCTTCTTTCATTTCTGATACAAGGCTACAATAATGGTTCACTGCCATATTGAAGATTAAAATTTGATGTTAATGAATAGTTAACTAAAGGAGTTGAATGTCTTTCTAATGCCAAATCACATTAAGGAAATGTATGAGAAGCCTTTATTCCCTTTTCAAGGATACGAAGCAATTATAATGTTGATTTGACAAAAGTGACTGCAAGGTTGTAAAAAGCTATTTACATGAGCTGAAGTTTTCTTAATATCTGATAATGTTATACATGTGCATGGATGTGTGGATGTAATTATTTCCAAATATGGAAAGCATTTACATGAGATGTGAAAATTATGATTTGAGCAAATATTTTACAACTTGGTGTTTCATGTAATGTCTCTTCTGCTAAAAAAACACCAAAAATCTTTCAAAATGAAAAATGTACATGTTTTACATTTATTTACAAGTCTTAAATATCTCGTGTTTTTACCAGGTACTTTGTTTGTAGGGAATGAATTCAGCAACTGGTCAGATAATTTCATATTTTAACACTTTTTTTCTGAGGAGATTGATTTATTTTCTTTCCCTGATTATTTTTTTGTTAATTTTTGGGTTTGTCTAGTATTAGGTACCGAAAAGAATTCTGTTGACATTTCTGTATTCTTTTCATAGTGCAACCAATCCATAAACTGTTTGAAACTTAGAAAGTTATTTGGGATTTGATTGTATTGTTCATTTCTGAAGTCAGTGTATAAAATGATTTTGTCTCATCAGGATTTACACTACTGTTTCTGTTCCATTGGAATTTTGAGAGATTCCTGTTGAGGTTGTATTTGACGATGATGAAGTCTTTAGTGTCAAGACTGGTTTCTTTTTAATTTTTCTTGAACATTGAGAGATGATATTATTGAAACTATCTCTAAAACGTTTGCTGATGGCAGTATAAAGAATAAAGTTCACACTAGAATTGACAAGGACTAGGAAGTTGTTGATGATGCGTAAACGCTCACCTATTACTGTAAAAAGAACCTGTTTGCGAGAGTAAATAGCTATGTTTATAGCTAGATAGAGTCCAATAGAGTGGCAGATCATGAACACGGAGACCATTGTGATAACAACAAGGGTTAGTTGCAGCAATTCCTGTCGGCCCTTGTCTTTGATATGCCGCATGCTACGGTTGTGTTGCACCAAAGAGTAGATAAGTAAGGTGTTGAGGATAAAGAGAGATACTTCAGGGATAAAGACGGCAACAGCAATGTTTAAGACATGCATAAGACTGTCGTAGATTTTGTTGTTAGCCAAGGGTTGCATATCAACTGGTTTCGGGATGGTGTGGTCCATATGAGGAGCATATTCAAAGCACTTGGAAAGGTGAAAGAGAAACGAAATGATGAATATAGCTGTAATGGCCACTTTTGCTCGGTGGATGGTGCACATGAGGCGAGCCTTCAATGCAAATCGAATTGCAATGAAGCGTTCGATGGTGATTGCTACAGTTAGCCAACTGGTGCATGTAATGAAAACATTTGATGTAAAGTATCTGCAAGGGAAATAAAATAATGTTTTTCTTTATGATAGAAAATAAAAAGGGAAACACGCAATAAAAAAAGAAAAGAAAAAAATTTGTTCTACTTCTTTAGACAAAATAACAAAATGTTGATAAAGCAAATTCAGTATTTAAAAACAAATAAAGAAAATATATTTATGACTTGTATATTTTAAATGTATTTCCTGGGCTATAAAATATTTTACTTATATCTTTTGATAAGTGATTAAATACTATTTAACCTTTTTTGCCAAGTGCAAATAAAGGTGAGATTGAAATTAATTTTAAGTAGAGGCTGAGAGAAAATCTCCTTCTTTAAGGATTAAAAAGTCTATTGCTGTTAGAGGCCATTAGACACTGTCTATATTATAGATGTGTGTCCAAGCCACACTCCATACTATTGTAGATGTGTGTCCAAACCCCACAATTTACTGTAGATGAATGTCTAAATCTCCTCCCCTGATATATTGTAGATGTATGTCCAATCCCCTTCCAAGCTTATTGTAAGTGTGTGTCCAATCTCCCACTTCATTTGTATATGTGTCCCTCCAACTTGTTTTCGTAAAGTATATTGTGAAATATTTTATTGAATGGTAAATCAATTATTGAATTTTTATCTTTGTTTCCTATTTTGCTAAGTTCTTTTCCATTTTATGCATTTGTTATAAATTTATAAGATTCCAATAATTGGAAGGAGAAGGTTTGTTTTATATGCCATCAAAAACGATGATACATATTCTTTATCTACTGTGTATAAGAAGAGGATAAATTTTGATTCTCATTTAAAAGACATTATATTTTGTTTATATATATTAGAGGTATTTGAACTATACACACACATGTACCAAATGAAAATATCACATTTTTTGGAGTTGGACAATGGACATTACAACCATTATTTTTTCATGCTACTTTAGGTTAAGCACTCCAGGTCATAAATATCAACAAAAAACTTTTTATAAAATCTAGTAGGGAGTCCAGTTTTCTATGTAAATGGACCCCCCCCACTACTCTATGGAGGACAAAACAAAATATGCTCATACTACATGATTTCTTAAAATGTAAAAATATATAAAAGTAAAATTGAAATTCGAAATCTGGAGTTATTTTTTTCACATATTAATATCGATTAAGCATGGTAGATTACAAACTAAAAATTTATTTTTATTTTTTTTACATTTTAAAAACTAATGTAGTATGAGTTTTCATTTTGGGTTCTATAGGGTGGGCTTCATTTACAATGATATTTACATCAAAAATTTGACTTCTATTAAATTATGTAAAATTTAATAAATTAGTTTTCTTCATATTTTTTATCTGCATTGTTTATGATATATAATTTATAATGATAGGAAAATAATCATTATTGACATTGACTATTGTACAAGTCCTCATCAAATTTGGGGGGAGGGGATTTTTAATTGGACTGAGAATGTTTTAGTACTAATATATATATATATATATATATATATATATGTATATGTAAATGATCCAGTAACTCATTAGAGACACCACATGTACTTTAGCCGCATCAAAAGCAAAACAGATTTGATGGAGCCGAGCCCTCCAGGTTGGTTTCCTTCTAGATGCAAGGCTATAGAAGCCAGTCTACCTTGCTATTTACCCACAGTTGGGGAGAAAATAAGATAGATTCATACTTATCCAAAGGGTATTAACACGTAAGTGAATGTAATGAACTCAACTGGAATTCAAACTCAGATCTCAGATTCCCCAATCCAAGCTGCAATCCATTACTACACAGTGCCTCCTTATATATACACACACACATATATATATATATATATATATATATATATATATATGTATGTATGTATGTATGTGTGTGTGTAAATTCTGGAGTCGGGATGCTGAAGGTGACATCAATCAACTATGTTACGAACCTTTTATTTGTATTAATTATATATATATATATATATATACATACACACAATTATAGTAGAGATAGAACATTTGTATTTATAGACAGTGAGGACATAGAAGTAAAAAAAATTAAATAAATAAAAGAAACAATTAAAATAAGCAAAGCAAAAGGTCAAAACTCTAATTAGGCTGAAATTTTAGCCCCAAATAAAATAACCTGGGAAGGGCCTGTTTCCCTCTTATCTAACATCCCACAATCCCCAAGCGTCCAATACATAGTCAGCAAGGAGTAGAAAGTTTGAAGACGGCTTGACCTGTGAAAATGACAGACCCCTTGCAATGTTCATCTCTATGTCCACACTGTTTACATCTATCTATCTATCTATCTATCTATCTATCTATCTATCTATCTATCTATCTCAGTCTGTTCATTAGCTATCTATCTATTTCAGTCTGTTCATTATCTATCTATCTATCTATCCATCTATCTATCTATCTATCTATCTATCT